GAATCAGTGGAGGGGGCAGAGCCAGGAGGCCGGGTGAAGCCGGCAGCCACGAGGAGCAAGTGTGAAACTCTTTCCACACTGAGGGCAGCTGAAAGCTTTCTCTCTGGTGTGAGGTGTTACCTTTATCTGAAACTCTTTCCACACTGAAGACATTTAGAACAGTTTTCACGAGTGAATCTTCATGTGGCAATTAAGGTTTACTTTACTTCTGTAACTCTTGCCACACTGAACACATACAAATGGCTTTTCTCCTGTGTGAATTCTCATGTGAATCGTAAGATTTCCTTTTTGTGAGAAGCTCTTTCCACACAGATTGCAGGTATAAGGCTTCTCTCCAGTGTGACCTCTCATGTGGGTACTAAGAGTTGGTTTTTGTCTGAAATTTTTTCCACACTGATAACATACATACGGCTTCTCTCCAGTGTGAATGTTCATGTGTTTCTTAAGACTTTCTTTTCGCGAGAAGCTCCTCTCACACAGTTTGCAAGTGAACGAGCTCTCTCCAGTGTGAATTTTTATATGGGAATTAAGAGATTTTTTATGTGTAAAACTCTTTCCACATAGTTTGCAGGTGTAAGGCTTCTCTCCAGTGTGAACACTCATGTGGCTTTTAAGGCCTCCTTTTCGAATGAAACATTTTCCACACTGTTGGCAGGTGAAAGAGCTCTCTCCAGTGTGAATTCGCATGTGGACTTTAAGGCTTCCTTTCTGAGTGAAACTATTTCCGCACTGTTTGCAGGTGAAAGGGCTCGCTTTAGTGTGAATTCCCATATGGACTGTAAGGCTTACTTTTTGAGTGAAACTTTTTCCACACTGTTGGCAGGTGAAAGGCTTCTCTCCGGTGTGAATTCTCATGTGGACTTTAAAGCTTTCTTTTCTATTGAAACTTTTTCCACACAATTGGCAGGTGAAATAACTTCTAGTTCCTGTAATTTGGGCTCTTTTTCGAGAAGAAACCTTTTTTTTGGACTTTTGAGTCTGTGAGCAAATAAAAGATTTTTCTCCAGCTATGAAATCAAGATGTTGCTCATACTGAGTTTTCTCTTCCATTTCATTCAGTACTTCATTCTCTTCTTTCAGCAGCATCAGGTCTAAAAAAAAAAAAACACACAAATAAAAGTTAACTGAGTTTAATGGCACAAAGCAGGAGACGTCAAAAAATAAAATAAATAAATAATATATATATATATATATAAAAAGGAAACGCGGTCAGACTGAGGACAACTGGTTAATCATAGACTAGGGCTCTTCAACACTGCTCCTGGAGGGTCGCTGTCCTGCAGAGTTAAAGAGGTCATATGATGCCCATTTTCCACAAGTTGATATGATT